TTGCTCATGAGGAATAGACTAAGATTCCTCAGAAACTGCTAGAAGCTGGTGTCCGGTTATCTCGTTTACAGCAGGTCATAACAGCAAAAGGGTGTTCTACTAAGTACTAAAGATGCTTGCCATGAAGGGGTTGACTAATTTTGAGACTGCAGAAGTCATTAAAAGTTGCATTTTAAGTTGAATTTGGGGAAACCACTTGAAACATTTGTTGTGTTGAGCTATTTCAATGACTTTTGTTTGATTACATTGCAAACAGCTGAAAGTCTGTACATTTTGCCAATAAATCTGATTTGCAAAGGGGTTTGAATCATATGGGGCGGTGCAGACGGTTGAAGCTTACTTATGACAGCTTTGCTCATACCTAAGAGAAGATCCTCTGGATCCTTTACCACAATATGAGCGTTGAGTTCCTGAAGCTCTTGATGCAGCTCCTCTAACTTCTTGTTGGATTTCTTGAGCATATTATCAACATATGCCAGTCTCTTTTTTTCTGTGGTGACCTTTCTGAGGTTCTCCACCCCCTCTTTGATCTTTAGCTCTTTGCGGATCTCCCTCTTGATCTGCTCCTTGATTTCATCTAGCTTCTGCTGCACCATGGTATCAGACAGGTCAAGGTTGTGCCCCAGGCCCAGCTGCTCCGAAACCATGTGAGCCTATACAAAATAAAACTTTTTTAGTCATCACAAATAAATACAAAACTTTCACATAAAGGTATTTTTTCCATTCAAAAAATAGAAGAATAAATAAAACATTCTTAGTCAACACATGAAAGAAATTCCCTCCCACGGATTAATTTTTGCTTACAGTAACATGAGTCATTATATATTGCATTCACATCTCCCAGTGCACCCTGCACACAAACCCCATAAGCATGAACGAAAACACACACAGGTACACATAAACAAAGATACACAGTATCACTGACATCAGCAGGGAGGATAACTGGTCTGAGTGGGTGAGCCAAATCCTGCTTAGCCCAGCTCTTCGTGGGCTCATGACAACATGTAAGAGAACTGACGCAGCTCCTCTAATCTTCCTCCAGGGGAAATTGTAGCCATAAATAAAGCTTCAAAACAAAGTACTGAAATCTTTCAGCAGAATGTGCTCATTCAGGTCTAAGGGAGGATGAAGGTGAGGTTCATTTGTCAAATATGCACAGACAATTAGCTAAACATATCTGATTCTATAATAGTCATATAATTCAAATACATCCAAATCTGAACATATATTTTGTGCATATTCTCATGTGCTAATAATATTCTGGCCGATACTAATGTCAATAAGTAATTTTCAGTTATTGCTGAAAATGTTAAAAAAATTCAATACTATTTTGTCTAAATATATTTATATGTAAAAAAAATAAAACAGTAAAAGCTTGCCAGAAGTGAATTTAGGCATCACATTATAATGTACATCATGAAAAAATTTATTTTATTTATTTTGAGATTTGCTAAAGACAATTTACATTAAACAATAATATGAGTGTTTTGAAAGATTAAAAGCAGGTTAGGTGATTTGTTCCAGAACCATTTTTTGTTATGCTGGTTGAAAGCATTAATTAAGTTAAGTGGTCTACAATCCACGTTGCTGATGATCAGATGCTATTATGATGCTTCATTAAAAAATGCTTGCTGTTTTCTAAATTTTGTTAGTGTGTTCATTTTGTTATTGAGAGCAAAACGCGCACATGCATATTCATTTAAACTTCACTCTGTGGGGTGTCGTCGGATGTTCGCTGGCAGCATATTGCTGATCATGTATTTCGAACTTTGTTTTACCCCTAAACGAAGAACGAAAAAGAACTTCGCTGTGAGTATATGGGCCTTTTATCCTTTAAAGCTAGCTCACTATTGCTAGCCTCTCCGGAAATTGCCTACCCTACCTTTAACTAAACGTCTAAATAAAAGTAAATTTAAAAGTAAAACGGAGCATGCACTTTTAAATATCCAATTTCAACCAATACAGATCAAATAAAATATCTGTAATATTAGCAGATAATCAATAGGGTACAGATATATTATGCTTCATTAATCAAAATAAATCTGAATTATGCTGATTAAGTTTTTCCTTTCAGTTATAACTAAAAGCAAAACTGGGCTGAATCTTCTGAAATTTTAGACTTTATTTATTTAAATAAATATTTAACTTTACTTAACTTAAGAATTTTAACTTCTGTCTGCAAAAAATATATATAAATAAATAAAACATAACTGGCACTATGCTTACACGTACAGTACTGACTCATGGGTCAACTGAAAGTCATGGAAAAGCAAATTCGGTACTTCACTTTAGTTACTATAGGAAAAAGCCAGTTGCACCTTATCTCTTCCTCCCTTGTACCGCCTGCAGTGCTACACTCAGGACAAGTCACACACACATACAAAATCAACATTAAAACAGCAACTGACGGAGTGAAAAATCTCCCTTCATACGCTAATTAGTCTTAAAGATCACTTTAACGAACTATATGTCATCAGACCTCTCATTCACCACATAAAACCAAATTATGCAAGCAGTGTCTCTTCCACTTTCCAAAATACTCTTGGACTTATCAGCTCTGGGAACAATGCTGACAAAACATTTGGTAACAACCTAAAGTTAGTTAGGCAGCTCACTGAGTTAGGTTAATACACAGCCAGTGGTTTCAATTCCAATCCATCAAAACTCAGAGAGTTTTCCAATAGGTAAGTTACGCCGCATAAAATCAGTCCAAATTTAAATGGAGACAATACTATGACCGCACGGGAGAAAATACATGCTCTAAACTCCTGTCATAAGTGTTTTTCATGCCCCGTTCCCCGTTTTCCCGTGTCATGAGCTCTTCGGTGGAGGGAGAAGCTCGTCCCAAAGGAAGAAAAGAAGTGGTTTGAAAGTGCGCGAGAGAGCTGCGCTTAGGGCGCATACTATGTTTGTGAAGTATAAAAGTCGCCGTGCACACTTTACATCATTCAAGATTCTTTACATCAACATTGCACAAGATAACAAACTTTTCCTACCTGCATGGGATCGGCGGCCATCTTGGTTGTGAACTCTTTTGAATCAAACTCTGGGGAAGGGGAGGTGAGTCACTCCCAAAAAACAAGGCTGTTATATGTTTCCGTCTCAAGCGAAAATCTCTTTATTTTTTTCCGTACGATCATGGCCGGGAGACGGAGGGGGTCCCATGGTTGAGCTGAGGGTTTGTTGTAAATGGTGGGGTTTAAACCCAGAGCTCAGGGCGGAGATCCGCGCATTTGGGGTGAACGTAGGGCTCTGCTGCTGCTAATATCGGAACAAGGCAAGGGGAGGCGGGAGGCGGGTGGCAGAACAACCCAAGTGCAAGTTTTCTGTTCCCGCACCCAGTTCAGCCACTGCTAGTCCACCCTCGATCATGTGATCAATAACAGCTTCACAAACACAGAGGCTTCAACACAACAGTCTGGTTCTACAGGAGCAGCAACACTAATTATATTAGGACTTAATAGAACTGTATTCAGAAATAACACTTTTTTGGGCGATTTATTTCGTAGGAGCAGCACAATAAACCAAGCCAGGGCTTATTTTATTAGAGAGGTAACGTTATATTCATTATACACGGACTTTTTGTGTAGAAGTAACCAACATTCGTTCTATCGCAGTAACACATATAATTATTTTGAAACACATCATTCTGTTTTAAATTATTCTATATAGTAAATTATTCTATAGAACTTTCTATAATGACTACTTTTATCAGTGATTCTCAACTTGGGGACTAGGGTCCACTAGGGGACCCCCCATCACAGGATGACTTTAAATTATTTAAATATTAAATCTTTTAAATATTAAAATGAATTAAAATGCATAAAAAAAAATTCAAGCAAGATGTAAATTAAAATCCTATTTCTTTTTCAACGTTTTTCACCCTCAATAACTATTGTTATTATTCAAGAACGTACAGTTCTTGAGACTTCTGGAATTACTAAATATATGATGGGTGGGGGTGTCTTCAAATATGTGTTAGACTTAGACCCCCTAAAATATTTATTTGATATTGTGTTTAATATTCATTCTATTGTGATGTTTTTTCTGTTGGAATAGCAACACATATAATTTTATTGGGATTTATTCTATAGGATTAGCAATATTTATTGCATAGAGACTTATCCTATAGGAGTAGCACAATCGTCATTTTATTGTGATTCTATAAGGCAGGGCCACGTTCTTTTATTAGGAATTATTCTTTAGGGACTTGTGTTTTTAACTCATTCCTTTGTGATTTATTTTTTAGGTGCATGAACAACATTCTGTTTTATTATTTTATTATTTGACAGGTAAATTAATGACAATATATTCAGATTTACTATATGCAGGAGCAGCAACTTTTATTCATTATGCTTCAATTTTATAGTAGCATCCAATGTATTTTAGTTTATAGGCAGCACATATAAACTAATTTAAAGGACAAATCCTTATACAGAATAATTAATCAATAATACTCATCAGAAATATGGACTGATAGTCAGACTGGTTAAGAAGGCAGAAGCATACTGAAGTACATCAATCATTCTTATTGGCTGCATGAGTCACAAAAAATATCCATATTACAATAATTACAGTTGAGGACATGATGGAATGGTCCTTAACGTATATGACACATCAAGCCTTTAATCATTTATGGTGTTTTATTTATTTTGTTGTAAACATTAATAAAAATGTTCTCACTGAGTAGTTTTTTCTGAATGCATAATTTAATGGATTAATCCTGCACATAGCTATCATGTTAATGGTTGTTTTTACTGGAAAAGTCTCTTATCTTTTAACAAAGGCTTATTTACAGGCATTTCTAAAGTTACAGAATGTCACTTCAGCCAACAGAGGGTGGTTTTCTCCATGAATTCTGTCAATATATTATGTAGAAACCATTTAAAATGAATCTTAGTAACTTAAAACACAGCTCATATCACTAAAGAGATCCTTAATGGAGTTCAGGGTTTTTAATTATTCTGAACAAAGTAAATATTACTTCACAACACACTTTATAGCAAGCTTAAAATTAATTTAAAAAACAAACAAACAAAAAACCCATCATGCTCTCCAAGAGATCATCTGGAGTGCTGTTTTAAAGGATACAGAGAACATGGGCTCTCTGGATGCTGCTAAATTTGATTTATGAACAGGTTAATTGCAGTGATACTGTAATTGCAGACCAGGAAGAATATCCGTATCATTACCAAAAGATCAACGTCACTCACACACACCAGTGGAGGATGGTGTGTTCTCACTGCCTGAAAGTGAAGAACACATCACTATTTCAAAACTAACAAACACAAACTAAATTGCAGGTCCACAACATATAAGAAAGGTCATTCTGTGCAAAACCAATTCATAATTGATTATGATACGCAAGGATGCTCGCTGATATTGCTTTATAGCTCCAATGGCTAACCTCATTTAAACTGCCAGATATTACCATATACATTGAATTTCCACAATATTAGACCTTCACAAAATAGACTGTAGCTGACAAAGCAACTACTGGGTTATATGAGGTATTGAATATGAAACTAGGAGCTCCATTAGTGTCTCTTTCTCGGAGCTCAGCAAAAAGATGAGCTCAGGACTTCGGTTCGGATATGTTGTGCTCCCTGAGTGAATCCAAGTGGTCGTTTCTGTGCACACAAGATGTTGGCCTGTCCCGTTCACAGTACAGTTTTCCATTCGCATAGTGAAAGCGCTCACCAGGTAGTAGCTGGTTATGGCAGATGGAACATTCAAAACACTACAAGAGCAAAGAAAGAAATTCGATGAAGAAAACATATACAGGTCCTTCTCAAAAAATTAGCATATTGTGATAAAGTTCATTATTTTCCATAATGTAATGATAAAAATTAAACTTTCATATATTTTAGATTCATTGCACACCAACTGAAATATTTCAGGTCTTTTATTGTTTTAATACTGATTTTGGCATACAGCTCATGAAAACCCAAAATTCCTCTAAAAAAATTAGCATATCATGAAAAGGGTCTCTAAACGAGCTATTAACCTAATCATCTGAATCAACTAATTAACTCTAAACACCTGCAAAAGATTCCTGAGGCTTTTAAAAACTCCCAGCCTGTTTCATTACTCAAAACCGCAATCATGGGTAAGACTGCCAATCTGACTGCTGTCCAGAAGGCCATCATTGACACCCTCAAGCAAGAGGGTAAGACAGAAAGAAATTTCTGAACAAATAGGCTGTTCCCAGAGTGCTGTATCAAGGCACCTCAGTGGGAAGTCTGTGGGAAGGAAAAAGTGTGGCAAAAAACGCTGCACAACGAGAAGAGGTGACCGGACCCTGAGGGAGATTGTGGAGAAGGACCGATTCCAGACCTTGGGGGACCTGCGGAAGCAGTGGACTGAGTCTGGAGTAGAAACATCCAGAGCCACCGTGCACAGGCGTGTGCAGGAAATGGGCTACAGGTGCCGCAATCCCCAGGTCAAGCCACTTTTGAACCAGAAACAGCGGCAGAAGCGCCTGACCTGGGCTACAGAGAAGCAGCACTGGACTGTTGCTCAGTTTTGCATGTCATTCGGAAATCAAGGTGCCAGAGTCTAGAGGAAGACTGGGGAGAAGGAAATGCCAAAATGCCTGAAGTCCAGTGTCAAGTACCCACAGTCAGTGATGGTCTGGGGTGCCATGTCAGCTGCTGGTGTTGGTGCACTGTGTTTTATCAAGGGCAGGGTCAATGCAGCTAGCTATCAGGAGATTTTGGAGCACTTCATGCTTCCATCTGCTGAAAAGCTTTATGGAGATGAAGATTTCATTTTTCAGCATGACCTGGCACCTGCTCACAGTGCCAAAACCACTGGTAAATGGTTTACTGACCATGGTATTACTGTGCTCAATTGGCCTGCCAACTCTCCTGACCTGAACCCCATAGAGAATCTGTGGGATATTGTGAAGAGAAAGTTGAGAGACGCAAGACCCAACACTCTGGATGAGCTTAAGGCCGCTATCGAAGCATCCTGGGCCTCCATAACACCTCAGCAGTGCCACAGGCTGATTGCGTCCATGCCACGCCGCATTGAAGCAGTCATTTCTGAAGTATTGACTATTGAGTGCATAACTGAACATAATTATTTGAAGGTTGACCTTTTTTTATTTTATTAAAAACACTTCTTTTATTGGTCGGATGAAATATGCTAATTTTTTGAGACAGGAATTTTAGGTTTTCATGAGCTGTATGCCAAAATCATCAGTATTAAAACAATAAAAGACCTGAAATATTTCAGTTGATGTGCAATGAATCTAAAATATATGAAAGTTTAATTTTTATCATTACATTATGGAAAATAATGAACTTTATCACAATATGCTAATTTTTTGAGAAGGACCTGTATTACAAGGCACCCCGCACCCTCAAGACACACTTCAGCATATAAACTAGGAGTAAAAATGTAGATAATTTGAATTAACTATTTAAATAGGTCAGTTTAATAGAGTAAATTACCTTGACATGGAAAACATTGCCCTGTGCTCGCATAACCATTTCATTTGCTGGGATAGACTTGCTGCAAGCCCTGCAGGCTCCGCTGTTACCAAATAATCTGTAGTGAATATCATCACAGACTTTTAATAAGCAAGTCATTAGTATTTTTTCCTCTTTCACAAACACAAAAAGCCATTTACAGCTTTTAAACCTACTTATTACGTTGCTATTTACCCACTTTGTTTCCCAATTTAAAGGGAAACAAAATTATGAAAATTCATAATTTACTCACTATCATGTCGTTCCACACCTGTATGAATGTCATTCTTCTGTGGAACACAAAAGATGATATTTTGAAGAATGATGATAACCAAACAGTTTCGATTTCCATTGACTTCCATTGCATTTTTTGCCCATACAATGAAAATCAATGGTAAACGAAACTATTTGGTTATCAACATTCTTCAAAATACTGTCTTTTGTGTTCCACAGAAGAATGAAGCTGATACAGGTTTGGGACGATATCAGGGTGAGTAAATGACAGAATTGTCATTTTTGGGTGAACTATCTCTTTAAGTCTATCATATTTTATTTATTACAGTGAGAGAAGACTATATTAGACATACATAATAACTGCTTTCTTTTAATCTAGTAAATTTGTTTGCTCAGGATGGTATGATGGTAAATTATTAAGGATGAAGATACAGTGTTGTTCCTGTAGTCTGACCTTATATAGTCACTTTTGCAGAGGATCAAGCCACGCTTTGTGAAACACGATGAGCCAATTTCTGCCAGCTGGGCTTGGCAGCAGGAGCACTTGAGACAGTGGCAGTGCCAGTATCCATCCAAAGCAAACAGGAGGAAGCGGTCCAAAATCTTGCATCCACATCCAACACACCTCTTCCATGCCAGGGCCCCCATTCTGACATGAGGCGGTTGTGTATTACAAGCAGTGTTTACCATAATAAATGGGTCATTACCTAGAACAGAGTGAATGTAAACTGAACAGATGTTTCAATTATAAAACTGCACAAGAAACACAGACTGTATTCAGTAGATAAGTAGGCAATACATTGATTTAACCAATGTGAGCCTCTAGCTGTATGACACAGTCAGATAAACAATCTTCCTAAAGTAAACAAGTTCACACACATATACTTGTTTGGCACAAGCATGCGCACTTACCTGCTTCACAGCTTCCAGATCAATTCACAGGCTCATATACAGAACAGAGGATCGCGTTCAGTCTGTCAGCTCGGATAGACGCAGACGCCGGACCATATCTTGTCTTTAGGCAACAACAAAAAAGAAAAAGAAATGTTACTAATAAAACTTCATTTACCTACATTTAAACTCTCATGAGGTCTGAGCATTGTAAGTTAACGGCGCTGTTTACACTGCTCGGTTACCAGAATTCAATCCCCTTTAAACATCCGTGTGCTGACGTCAGGCGCGCTTCAGCCAATCAGCAGTCATTTAAATTTTGGTCTCGCGCTAAAGCAGATGCAATATTCAAACGCTGCATTATTGATGCTATCTGAATTGGGTCCATCGTTTGACTATATGTAATGTACTATTTAAATTTGAATAGTAAATTACAAAATTATCTTTCAGAAATTGAAGTGCCAAAGTGACTTTAAGTTTAGAAGAAGTGCCTCACTCACATGTCTTATTCGGACTAGGATTCATTTACAATGGAGCCTTAATCACCCAACACCGACACACACACACACACACACACACAGCGTCATGGCCAAATCACTATGAAAAGAAACATTGACAGCAGTCTGATTGGGAGATAATAGAAAATCATCCGCGAGAAAAGGATCCTGCCTTTCTTATCATCTGTCTGTCATTTAGCCATGATTACCATCAGATTAAATACAATCAAAGCAGTTTGGTTGAAAAGTGGTAGTCATGGGAACCAAGGAAAACTGTTTATCTTAATTCAAACATGCAGAGATTACAGAGATGTAGGAGCAGAGAGGGAGGAAAGAGGGTTGTGTTTGTTGGCTTCTGTCACTCATTATGGTGTATCATGTCACTATTCAATGCAGAAAATTAGTCTCTGATGACATGACAAAGCCGTAAGAGCTTAGTGTTGATATATGTGCTGTTTGCTTTAAGGAACTAAAACCTTCTAACTTCAGGTTTGCTGCTAATATCTGCAAACTTCAATCTGTTGTATGAGAAAAGTACATTATACTACCATTAAAAAACATGTTTAATTCACATAAAAAAAGAAAAGAAATGCTGTCAAAGTACAGTGACAATGTTTTAGGTGTTACGGGATGGCGTATTGGTGCCTGTATATTTTACAATTTTAACCATACATGTTTTTGAGATATAAAGGTAATATAGGAATCTACTTGATCTGCTTTTTACCTTAACATACATGTTGAAACAGGTAGCTCAATAGTAAGCCACATGATGAATTCAAGTTCATTGTACATGGCCTGTCCAAGAAACATTGCAATACTCGTAGACGGTCATATACACACAACGACAACACACACCATCAGGGCAACGCACATGACACTATAATGAAATAAACAATAACTGAAAATGTAACACACACAAAAAAACTACTTATGTACATTACTGATATCAAAAATAAGAAGAGCAAAAATTCTATACAATATAATCACTGTAAAAAAAAGTCGCTGCCTTAAATTTTTACGTTCAATCAACTTGGCTCTTTAAGTCATTTCAACTTAAATTACATTAAACTGACTATTTAAAAAAAATTGTTGAATCTTGTATACCGGTAACATAATTTTGTTTTAAATTGCTTAACTTATTTTGATGATTTAAAGCAATGTAAAAACATATTTTTTACATAACTTATTGATCATATAATTTTTTTGCATGCAGGGACTTCTGGGAACGTCCTTTTACTGTTTTTCACTGTAAATTATAATAGTAATTCATAGTTTTTAGTATTATAGTATTTTACAGTAAAATTACATATACGTGATGTTAAAACAATTCGATTTCTAGGTCACTTACAGATCATCAATTAACTGTTTTTTTTTCTGTAAAACTTACAAACTTTTTTAACAGTGTACAGTAAAAAAGAGACATTATGGACACATGAACATGAATTTGCATGAAGCCAGACTAACCTCACCACAAATGTAATTATCAATGTTCTGCATGTGCTATTACTTTTTTCAGCCCTTATTGTTGGTTTTGCCTGTCTAGATTTCCTGTAAACAAGACTAGCCCCCCCATCTCCTGGATCATTATGTTTATGTAATGAGGTCACGGTCGTTGATCTAATGGGAGAGCGCAAAGTTTGAAAAATGTGTGGGAGGGCGTAATGGAAAAATAAGTCATTTTCTCCACATCTCCATTACTTTAATTGTTTTCTGAGCAGAGGCATGTTGTGATGTTCCAGGTAAAGCACAGGAGTCACATTAACAAAGAGTGTGAGCTGTCTGAACACAAACAGTTAGATGAACATCAGATGGAAACCGTGAGACAGAGGCCTCATTATTTAGAGCCGGAACCAGCCGATGTCTTTATAGCACAAGATTTTCATTATTGCTCAATAATTAAATCTGCGAAACATTCGACAATGATGTGCGTTTCTGTCCTGGTGATTAGAAGAACATTTCCAAACAAATCTACCAAATTACTTAAGCTGGTTATTTTCACGAAACAATTTCCTCTAATTAATGTATCCTTTCCCCACTGACTATAGCCAACAATTATGATGTTCATTAAAAATGAAGGGAAGCTGGGGGACTGTCAATCAAACACAGAAAGGGATTGTTTGAAAGGCCCTTTATTTGTTGCTGTGACAGCTCAATCACCCATGATGATCTAACCGGGGGGAGGTAAAAACCGCCAACAATGACCATCACAGGCTACAGACAGCCCTTCATTTGAGTGCTAATTAGAAAAATTATATCTCTGAAAGGCAGCCTGGTATCTGTTCCCAGTGTGTTGAGAGAGACAAGCTGAAGAGACAACAACGAGTTAATAGAAAAATTAATTATTTACACTATTATCTAGGCCATGCCACTGAAAGAATGACTCAATAATGCTTTAATTGTGTTGCTGATTACATTTCCACTGAGATGGACTCAAAAGCATATCATCCCTCTGATGTTTATTAAATGTATGTGCTCCGATGAGATAACAGGGATATTGCACTGGTGCACATCACTTCTTGAGCACATCTTGTGTGTTCATGTCAGCGGTGAGCTCCTCTGTGGAAGAAGAGAGGTTACAGACCATTGGTTCACACACAGCTGTTCTAGATCAAAGAAGTTTATGGTGGTTAAAAAAAATATTATTTTTCTTTAGAAAAGACATGCATACACCACCGTGCAAAAGTTTGAGGTCAGTACGTTTAAAAAAAAAAAAAAATAATACTTTTATTCAGCAAGGATGCATTAAAAATATTGGCCTTTGGATCTAAAGATGACCTTGATACGGATGTCACTTTCACATTTAATACATTTGCTTGAGTGTGAACATGAATATGATTGTCTTAGTCTGTTTTCATATGTGTTAAATAGTCATACGCCTTGAGCAGAATGATGGTTATATCGTACGCTACCATTCAAAAGTTTGGGGTCAGTAAGATTAGATTTTTTTTTAAGAAATATATTCAAGAGCGATGCATTGAATTGCATCAATAGTGACAGAAAATACATTTATAATGTTCCAAAAGATTTCTATTTCAAATAAATGCGTTTTTTTATATCTTTCTATTCATCAAAGAATCCTGCAAAAAATGTAAGACGGTTTCCACAGAAATATTAAGCAACTGTTTTTAACATTGATAGTAATAAAGAAAGTCTCTTCAGCAGCAAATCAGCATATTAGAATGATTTCTGAAGGATCATGTGACACTGAAGACTGGAGTAACGATGCTGAAAATTCAGCTTTGCATCACAGGAATAAATTACATTTATAAATTGTAATATTTCACGATAATACTTTCACCACATTTTTGATCACATAAACACATGAGAATTCTTTAAAAAACATTTTAAAAAATAGTACCGATCCCAAACTTTTGAACAGTAGTATAGGTTTAATTTGTGTTTTTAGTTACAAAAAAGGCAAAGCATATTAAAAAATAAACAAATGAAGTCTAATATACTTTTCTCATGAATGCACCTGATGGCCCTCCATATATTTTAGCTTCTCCTGTTTTTTTTAGTAGAGAGATACAGACTGTGCCATTTTATCAAAATTACAATAATAACAGAGAAGAAAAAACAAAATCTAAACAAATCAAGCTCTTTTTATTATAGCTGACATATCCAAAATCAATCTGTTGTCAAATCTACCTCAACACTGTCAGTAGAAAAGAGCAAAGCTCCTGAAGTCTCATTTATTTAAAAAGAAAAAAAAAAAGAAAAGAAAAAAGTATAGAGCAAATACAGGCTCACATGGTGGCGCTGTGAAAGAAAGATAGTAAAACTGATAGCTAGCTACTCTAGCGTTTCATATACAGTACAGATTGGTTTTGATTATCTAAAAACATTCAAAAGATCCTGTAAAACCTCAAAATATATTTTTTTAAGTAGCAAGTGATCATTTGTCACAACGACCACATTGTTCTACTCATATTTTGTCTTGCAGATTTTAGAGGGAAATGTGCAATCCAACACCCATTTCATGCACAAACGTGTGGATAGTAAAGATCATGTATACATAGAAAAACTGATATTGTGTAATAAACTCGGGAGACAAATTTCCATTTTCAAAAAGACATCAGTTCCACTCTTACTATTAACAATTTCATATGATGGTTGCGTATTTCCACATTGATGTTGATAATGGCAATCTATGCAACAACATTTCTCCTTGTAAAACAATTCCTCATCTTTTTACACTGAGATGTCAAGTCATATTTACACTGGCTGTAATAACAGCTCTGTGTCATAGGGAAAAAAGGCACAGTCTCAATGAATCAGTCCCAATCAGTTCAATTAACATATTTAAAGTCTATGATATTTAAATCATAAAGCAGCAAACTAATGGTATGTTGCCATCATGAGAGGCTTGACAAGTCTTTGAAATAAAGTATGTTTGAACAATATGTATAACAAAAAACAAAACCTGACAATTCAGTCATAAAATATGTAAAAAATCAAATTTAAAGACTCAAAATGGCTGCTTACCAAGAATCAGTAACAGTACAATGATCCACATGCAGATCTAGGCCTAGTCATTTTTGTGATTGTGTTTATCTTCAAATTTGTTATCCTCCCTCATTTCAATTTTAGGTCCAACTGTAACTGTAATGACCAGTATTTACAAAAATATTTTCTGAAATTGCTGAAAAACTGCAGGGATGAACCCCAGGCAGAAGGTTCTGATTTAACAGCAATTGTGGATACATTTTAAAACAAAACAAACCTGATCTGCTATATTAAAAGGCAAGACGCATGTTAACAACGTAAAATACATACACCCACATCACATCTGTGTATTTCCAATAAATTCAATAAACCGTATTTTAAAAGTCCAAGAAAAAGTACTCATTTTACTATACTATACTTTCTCAGCTTGATAAAGAACTTCAAGAATGTTTAGTAGTCATCTGTACTCTTTTTACACTTTAAAATAAGATGTAAAAAGCACCAAAACAGCATAAATCGGTCAAAAAAACCAAAAACAAATCAAAACAATAACCATTAAGGATCAAAGAAAGAAATGTGACAGCACCTGTATAAAACCCAAATGGCAGAAAGGTGGTGGTTGTCTTGAATAATGACACGAACAATCTCAGTCACTTTTAATGCACATTTGAGAGCTTTTAACCCTTCTTTGAAATGATATGTATTGGGGGGATAATGCTCATGACAGCTGTTTGGCCCCAAGACTCTTCCCTGTGGCACATACTAGATTCAGCTGTTTGAAATGTACATATCCAGATGGATTAGAGTCAGTCTGAATGCACATATCAATGTAATGTGTCCTCCTCCAGTGTTTCCGACCACAGCATACAGCGTTTATGGTCTCAGGTGGTCTTTGGGTAGATTTTCTCGTAGAAAAAGTTCTGTGCCAGTAGGTAAAGCTCTCCATCTTTTTCTCTCACTGCATGAGCCCGAACGTACTGGAATTGCTCTAGTGCAAACTCATAAAACTCATTCTCCATTTTCCAGATGTCCGACTGCTGCAGTCTAGCTATAGACTCTTTAGTGGGTGGCTTCTTCTCACTCGTTTTCCTTAGGTGCGATTTCTTCCCTTTAAAAATGGACAAATAAAGTTGATCATTTTAGTTTTAATGTTTTACATATTCACTTAAGAACTTACATTGCATCATACCTGTCCGATAGAGCTCTGTGGCCCCCTTAAAAAAGCGAGGAAGTGCCGCCTCCAACATCATAACAAAGTCTTCCAACTCCTCTGTCACCCCAACAAGCATATATTCATTCACCAGGTTATATTTGGCTTGCTCCAAAGCCCATTTGCTACCAATGTTCCTGTAAAAAAATAATTAAGATGATGTAACAAGAGTCCTAAAAAGTGATATACCCAAAATACACATAAAGACACTGAACGGCCTACCAGCACTCAGAGTAATGACCACAGAAGAAGGGAATCTGAAGCCACAGTTTCTCTGGAGCACAGTCAGATCCTCCAGCAGCTACACACTCATCAAATGTCTGAAACACACGCAGATCGTACAGTACAGTTTGCAAATAGACTTTCTGGGTTCAATATTTGAAGAGAACAAAAGTTAAGCTCAATTGACAGCTGTGACAAGCAGTGCGAGGCCGAGAGCCGTAGGAACGGAGCGAGTGCTAATGAGCGTCACCTGTGCGCCACACCGGTCTCCAGTCCCACGGAGGAGCTCCAGAAGGATAAAAGGACGAGTGACAACAGTGAAGGATGGGAGAGGACCAGGCCTAGGACATTTATGTTGTTTTATTGTGTTTATATGCGGCAGTCGTCCGTGAGGGGCTGTGTCGCTTTACTTTTATTTTGGGGATTTAAGTTTATGTTGGACGTTCGCCAGTTCCCGCCTCCTTTCCTGAACTTTAACATTGCTACACCAACAGCACAAAAAAAACTAAACAAAAAAACAATTGGGGTAAAAATCATGGTTACAGTAACGCACTTAATATGGTAAGTAAAAAACAGGGCCAGCGTTAAAGGTAGTTTAAAAGCACACATCTGAATATAATTTTTTGTATTCAAAACATATTTTAGAACTTATTTATTATTATTTTATTTATATTTAATATTATTTTAAATGGTATTTATAAATCTTATATAATAATATATAAATAGATAAGACTTATGTAATAAATATTAAATACTAATATTAACTATATTTATTAATAATATATATTTTTTGTAGCCTATTATCATATTAACACCATAGCTTTTGTAAAAAATATCATAATTTATAATAAACTAATTTTATAATTCAATAATATTTTAAATAAATTGTATTATTAATAATATTAATATTAAATGTTAGTAATATTTAATGTATTGATAATACTATTAATATCATTTTATAATAATATTACTATTATTTTATAATAGTAGCACCATAACTTGTTTTGTGAACTTAAACTTCAGTACCTTATAGTCATGAAATTCAGAATAATTAAAAATAGACAAAACAACTTTAACACTTGAACTCCCAAACCAAAAACACCAGACTCACCTTTTTGTCTCCTTGCTTTCTGCGTCGTAGGCCGGGTCTGTAGTCATCACCAAAGCGCAAGAAATAGTAGTAAGACACCAGACGCTCAATGGGATCCCGGATAACATTTATGTAAACAGGCTTTTTCTTCACTCCAAATCTGATGAAGGGATGGGACAGGAACTGTCAAGCTCTGTATTTCATGTATCATTCCTAGTAAATACATTGTTTTAGTACAGTAGGATTATCAGATGTTTTTGGCATCAAGGCATGATTAAATATTTACTTTATGGATGTAGGTGCATAGAAGTATGTGAATTTGATAAGATTTGTAAAAGTTACAGAGAGACCTAGAAAAAAGGAAACTAGTAACAATATGATTGTTTCGTTCAAAATCAGATGCTAGAAGCGTGCTGTAATTCTTTTCAGAACCACCAGGAGTCAGCAGGATACTTTTTTTCCACTTCATTGATGTTGGCACCGAATGTAAAACCTGAAACCACTCTAAAGAGCATTTTTCATGCAAATACAAAGACCCCAACAGACTGAGGGAATTTGCACAGGGAACGACGAGAGCACATAATACACACTTGGTGAAATCCAGGAAGGAAACATGTCCGTGGTAGAACGCAGGCTTCATCTCCTTCCACAATGTCACATTCTTTACAAACCGTACCTGAAACATTAATAAATAAATGTTAAAAAAATAAATCACTTAAGAACATGCTCTGAAAAAAAAAAGGTCATCCTTAGTCCCGTTTTAAGTCCCCTCAAGCCTCATGATACCATAAAGACACCATACCATAACATCTGCTGTATTGCTCTATTAAGGAAATGCTTTCTGTCATTTAGAAGCTGTTTGGAGAATTTGAGTAAACATTTGGATCCTTCCAGCATTATAATCTGTTGTTTGGATGGCTGTAAGCGGGAGGCACTAACAGTGAACATGCACAAATGATACAAAACTGACCTGATCCTGAAGGGACATGACAGGATTGTTTTTGGTGGTGTTGATGTGCAGCACATGGTAGTGGTTCTTGTTGCACAGGTCATAGGCGATGTTGGTGAAGGAGGTACTGGCTGTTTTGGGCACTCGGTTGTAGATGACCACCAAATCGTCCTCCTTTACCATGGCCTCCTTCGCCCCATCTTGAATGTGCCGTTGCTCAATCTCTCGTACCTCATGTCTGGCAATGGCTCGTTCTGCAAAGTATGGGGAGAGATATTTAAACTAATGTGTTTAGCCTCCAAGATCAAAGGATTTTTTTTTCTTTGCATAATTCATTAAAAAAACATTCCATTCAACAAAATACTGCAAATAAACCTGCCATATACCAGATTCATACAGGAATACTCCAAGTACTGTATGTTGAGGGAACAGAACTGCAAAGAATACTAGATTAATAATCATATCCTAAAGGAAAATATGTCTTTCATTATATTTCTGCACAATACATAATTATAAAATAATATTATAATAATACTACATATAATCAAATAGTAAGGGATTCACATTTGATAATATTCTTACATTTAATACTTTTTTGACAAAGGTAAAATAACACTTACATTTCCAGAATGGTCTATTTATATACTGTATTATTTTTTATATATATTTTAATCTTATTATATATTATACACACAGTAACACACTTAAACATGTTAAGCAGCAACAACTGTTTTCAACATTGATAATAATAATCAGAAATGTTTCTTGAACAGCAAATCAGCATTGAATGATTTCTGAAGGATCATGTGACACTGAAAACTGGAGTAATGATGCTGGAAATTCAGCTTTGCATCACAGGAATAAAGTACATTTCTAAATATATTCAAATATACAAAAAATACTTTAAATTCTAATAATATTTCCCAATATTAAGTTTTTTACTGTATTTTTGATCAAATAAATGCAGCCTTGGTGCAATTAGAGTAATGCAAAAATACAGTGAATTTATTAACAAAATGTAGAGGTTGAAACAGAAAGGTCCTATGGCCTTGTAATCCTCGTGAGATCATGAGATAGAGCTTTGACCGTAAACACGATGCGGTGACAAAAGTGTGTGAATGTGAGCTGGAGAACGGGCAGCTGCTACTGTGAGGTGATGATGTCAAGCCAACCACGGCACATTCCCGCTCAGCTCCGACTGCTCTCGAGTCTCTAACCATCACATGTGGACAACTGCTATCGCCCATGACAACAACTGTTGCTATGCCACATTATGATGTCAGACTCTCCCACGACAACAGAGAATATCTTGTCACTCATGCAAAAAGCAGTTTGTTATTTTAAAATTGTGGGGGAAAAAACAAAGACTAAACCTAGAGAATAAGAAATTTGCCGCTGAGTCTGACCTATACATTTTTTTTACTTGTTTTTTTGTGTGCTGAGCTGTAATGGAAAATGTTTGACTCTGAGGTAAAAGAGTCGTCAGGGTTCAAGCATTTATGGGTAGACGACGTGACTGTTTCACCATCTCATTACGGATGCAATACCCAGCCTAATGTAATAATATAATTGCACGTTAATGAGAAAAACACCCTGGCCTGAACCATTGCCTATTTCCTACATGATGGACACACTGCTGCTTTATGCCGAATGAAAGCGCTCATTTAAAAACAGACAGGCGGCAAGAGGGCCCTCAGGCTGACTGTGTAACTGATGCTATGGATGACTGCAGATTTTCACTTCTATTGGCCTTCACACACTGCCTTCTCTAATAAGCACATCTTCACAAGTACAATAACTTATTAAATCTTACTGTTTTTTCTTTTACCGTGAAAACATTACTTAAAATTAATTTTTGCAGGTGCTGTAGTGTTTTTCGAGCAATTCACATCTACACTTTCCCTAAGAAAAGTAATAAATATGTAACAACATTTTTTGGGGGAAATTATTATTCATTAAAATGTATAAATCCATATAAAAATATTACGTGTGTAAGCAACGATATGTAAAGCTTTTTTAAAATTAAAAAGATTGTTTATTTTTTGTCATTGACCCAATTATAAATGTACAGACAATACAAAGATCTAAAACAATTCATGATGTGAAATAACAGTGCAAAATCTGAGTGTCTTGTTTCAGTAAAGGTCAAAAATAATAAGATGAGTGAATGAAATTTAATATCTACAAGTGTCAAGCTGCTCAGGAGGGGAGGAGGATTTATGGCAGTCAGCTGCCAAACCTGACGAGTTATACTCTGACTGATGTCTTTTCAATACTTCAAATCAGGTTACAGTCTTTCCTTAGATAGAACAAAATAAATCCAGTCAGATTTCCCTCTGAGAGTCTCTACAACATGGAGGTCACTGTGGGGTAATTTTTATGTTCAAGGTTGAAGAAAGTGACATTATCATGACACAATAACATTTCCAGCCTTGGTAGAGTAAAGGCTGAGTGAGAGAAATGCAGTGCGTTCCAATTGACCCTTCGCAGGGAGTTTGATTGACAGGCGATCTGACCAATCATAATCCGCCATCCGCCATTTTTGTCCGACAAAAGCAGTCAAGAGCATAGATATAATAAATACATAGACGCCCTATAGGCTATTTCATGCAGCCGTTATTTTGAAATCGTAAACGAGGCTCCGGTGGGAAGAAAACCGGAAGTGCCGCCTTTAATCACAGGAGAGTTCATACTTTAGACTATATACAGTGAAATTCATTTATAAATAATTCCGAAAGTTAAAAAAAGAAGCAGGAGAACTATATACATATCCTATATTGGATATTAACATCCAATAGTGTTGCTCACCTCACTTTTATATTTTGGTTTTTGAACCTTTGGATTTGTTTTAAAATCGTCAGCACATAATGGCACTTGCGTCCATCAAATATTTTAAAGAATGCAGGAGTCCAGCAGAAATGAGATTCTTTCAGTTTGCAGTGAGTCAGTCACACTTGCAGTAGGGGTAAAATCTTTGCATGACAGGGGGAGCTGCCGCTCGACCTGTCACTCAACCCGTCACCGCTAGGGGCAGCTGCCACTCAACCAGTCACCGTTATATGCGCCTGCCACTCGACCAGTCACGGATATATGCTCCTGCCTCGCGACCTTACACAATATGTTTTTTAAACCAAATGCAGCGCGTATCCCCTGTAGCCAGCGGGACCCAGAATGGTACGGTCAATATTCACCATTAACCAAATGCTTTTCTCCTGCCTTAAGCCCAATTTATACTTCTGCGTCGACCTCCCGCCGTAGCTACGTCGTAGGCTGTGTGTAACGCGTGTACCCTTTGCCGTACCCTGACGTGCACCTCTCCAAAAATGTAACAACGTGTCAATTCTACGCGGACGCAAGCGCTGTGATTGGTCTGTCAGAACCGCTCCCTCGGGTTTCACATGCTCCCTCTGCATGTGTAATTGCGCGTCAACGCGGACAACGATGCAGAAGTATAAATGAAAACCAATGCGTAGTCTATAGCGTAGAGGCTCCGGCGTAGGTCCGACGCAGTCACCGTTATATGAAGGCACCGTTATATTCAGCTCCGACAGCTGAAGGGAAAAGCAAACGAAGATTCCTCACTACATCGATTTGTTTGTTTTATAGGCCTAGGCTATTTTTATTTCATTTTATTTACAGAATATCAACATTTAATGATGAGGTCTTTGAATTTGCATCAGTGAGAACTGCAAAACAAACAAAAAAACTGTTTCAGTCAAAGAACAAAATTTTAAATTTAATTTAACCTAGAAATTTTAATAATCATCATTACTCGCCCCATGGGGTTACACCAATCGGTTACTCTACCTGCGGCCGTTAAAAAACCAACACCGGTACGGCAAATCCAACGCAAGTTTAGAGTGTGAAATTGACAGCATTTTAATGATTCATCTAAAATAATAAAATAAAAGAGTACACAGCAATATTTTGCACTTGCCAGTTGTTATTTTGCCAGTTTTTCACACACACATCTTATGCGAAAAATTAATAAATTAAAAAAGAAAGGCCTATAGGCTATAAAACAAACAAATCGATGTAGCGAGGAATCTTCGTCTGCTTTTCCATTCAGCTGTCAATCGGAGGAGTATCAGGCAGTAAAACAGTGAGAGATTGTGGCTGGTGCGGCGCTTATATGTGACGTGACGCGCGCTCCATTATGGACAAAAAGAGGGAACAAAATATAAGATGACAGACAAATAAGAGCAGGATTGCACTGTCTGTTTGCACATGTGCATCAAATTGAGTGTCTGGTAGATTTAAACAGTGAGAGATCTGAGGCAGGCGCGACGCTTAAAGGGGTAATATAATGGTACATGCACTTTTTCAAGTTGATTGTACTGAAATGTGTGTTGGCAGTGCCAGTACACAACCATCATACAATGATAAAAATCCATCCAGTGTTTTTGTTTTAATCTCCTTATGTTTTTCCTAGTCTCAAATCGAGCCGTTCGACCGTGTGACGTCACATGGTCGGACGCCCCTCCCACGATTGTTGATTGACAGCAGTGTTTCAACACATCACCGCCAAAGAACGTATATTCCCCGCCCTGAGCGAGCTCTGTCATCATAGTCCATCATTGTTGATACGCTGGAGCAGAATGGCGTCTAAGCGATTGTAGTGTTCTGTTCTTGGGTGTAATCTGAGTGTAATAACGAACACAGCAGTCGTTTTAATGTTCCTAAATCCGAACTGCTGAAGACGCAGTGCCTGAGTTTTGTTTTCGAAGGGAATATTCCCCACGATCAATGTCAATGCTTTCATGTTTGCGCGATTCGCGAATCTTTTCTCACCAGACTGCTTTATAAACGAGGATCAGAATAAAGCTGGTTTTGCTAAGAAGCTGCTCCTGAAAAAAGAATCGGTAACAACTATTCATGTTCCTGCTGCACCTCCAGAAGAAGTGAGCGTAAAATTTTATTAACCTTTATATTAACGTTAATCTTTGCAAATCGCTTGCACGCTTCACGATGAATGCGGCTAAGGTTTACACTCAGGGTACATTACGGCATGGTTTCTATGTACGACGTTCTCAATATAATTCATAATCCCATGTTTATAATGAACAACGTGTTCATGAAAACAGAAAACAGAGGTGTTTTTGACCAGGTAAAATGAGCGTTTTCTTACAATACTAATGAGAATTTTTAATTAAAGTATATTACAAACTTTTCATTTAGACCCTAAAGAATCAAATTAACTTGTATGAAAATGGCATTATATGACCCCTTTAATAGGTGTCAAGATCGCGCTTGTTTTAATGAACACAGAGTTTTAATGAGAATCATACGTCATCAATAGCTGTTCATTTCCATGATTTAGTACAATTGCATTCATATCAGCAGCGGAGCATACAGGAGTTCACATGGACCGTACCCATTTATGCGGATTCGGGGTACGGTTCATCCAGAATAGTGTACAGCATTCACAATCACATCATGCAAATGTAACAAACTCTGACTGAGGTCAATCGAACCCGGGTGCATGCGCACTAAAAGTGCTAGTGTGAACTCTTAAGTACAAAAGAAAAACAGACATGAAGTATGTCCTGTATACAAAGAGGCCATAAAAGTTGACTAAGAAATGCAGGCAGCTGTATGCCTCTGGTATTCAAGGGGGCTTTGAAGTTTTAATAAATAGTAAAGCATCAAGTTTATAATCTGCCCCAGGTTATGTACCATCTGGTTATACTTAGTGAGATTTGCATAAGTAAGAGTATAAAGTGTGAGCACATTACCACTAATTTTTCAGTTTGTTTGACCATTAGGTTGAAATTATCATCATCACACTTAGACTAAATAGATTTGTCTTTCAGTTGACTCATAAAATGAATTTTTACAATTTACATCTAGAGGTATTAGAAAAATGTATGCAACAACTTGTAACCCTGACAAAACTCAATGTCACACATATTTGAGGTTTAGGAAAGATTTTTCATTTTGAAAGAAATTAATACTTTTATTCAGGAAGGATTACATTGATCAAAAGTGACACTAAAGGCATGTATAAGAATACAAAAAATGTATCACGGTTTCCGCAAAAATATTAAGCAGCACAACTGTTTTCAACATTAGTAATTACTGGTTTCTTGAGCACCAAATCATGATTTCTGAAGGGGCATGTAACACTGAAGACTGGAGTAATAAATGCTGTAAATTCAGCTTATCCATCATAGAAATGAATAGCATTTTAACATATATTCAAATAGAAAACAAATTATTACTAGTCACATTATTACTGCTTTTTTGATCAAACACAGAGACTTGATCAGCTCAGCATAAGAGACTTAATTTAAAAATAATCTTACCAACCCCAAACTTATACGCCAGTATATTACTTTACATATAATATTTATTAGTTTGATAAATAAATGAAACATTATCATAATACACGTTCAAATTTTACATACATTTTTAGTATGTATATAGACTACAAGCATTTGTTTAGTTTATGTCATCCGCTGGCACTGAAACCTTTTCAACAACTAACAGTGCTTTCAAAGTCTTTAAGCTTCATAAACACATGGCTACTTTGGATCTAAAAATGTACAATAGTCAATGTGTTGGTGCCAAGCAATAACACATGGGCTTATGTAATGTTCTTTCACAGCCTCATCAGGGCTAAAAACACTACCAATTTGAAGCGTGTTTAAAGGGAATCCCAGAACTTCCATTAGCAAATGGAGACAAACTACTATCAGGTTAGATATCAAATAACTTTTCCAATGCTGATGAACCGTGAAAGAGTATGTCAGCTGCCAAGCCTGCCATCATTAGAGAAAAACGGAAAGATAATAAATCAACATTTCAAATCGATGTTACATGAAAAATAGTCAGCAAACACTCCTGAAATTGAGGCACATAAAACAGTTTACACTAGATATGTACTAAAGACCCCATTTGTTCACAGTCAAACAAGATGTGCAACAGGATGACAGTTTCAAAAACATCATCAATTTATGCAGTGCAAAGACTGACAGCTTTCGCAGGTCTAACCAGATGGAAAACCTTCCTCTCACCTTTCTGCCTGTTAACGGCTCTCACATATAACTATTCATAGAGCAAAAACCTGTTGGTTGATGTAACTCAGCGTGGATGGTGGGAACCAGCTAACCTAAACAACAGCTTGCCAATTTTTAGTGGAAAGAACATACAGCTTATACAAACAAACAAAGCATTTTAATAACTTGAGTATAGCACAGATATATCTCTGTGAAACCGATATGATGCAGAAGTGATGTGTTACAGTCAAACTGGTGTAGCATTCAGAATAGCCTGTACAGGACATGAAATAGCCCATATCCGATCGCTCTATAGGCATGTGCGTTTGACATGTCTCACTAGTTAGACATGTGGCCTGTGTTTGGAATTACAGCAGCACTCAACCAAAATACAAAAGCCCTGTATTGACAAGTGTACTTCACAGATTTTAAAATAACTGATCTTGTTCTTTTCAATTGATTAGTTGTAATGAGCAGAAAACATTTTAATTTCACAAACAGGATTGCAAAAGGGTTTTAAGAATGCCAGGCTGAACTGAAGGTATTCTTAACTTCCTTAGATAATTCTGTACAACATCGTCAGATATTTAAAAATATATTTATTATAACATTTTTAATAAATCTGCCAAAATCAAAATCAGTCTTCATCCTGAAGATCCGCGTTCCATATTTCAAGTGCTTCGCCATCTCACTCAGCTCTTGTGAGGTATACAGTTTAAAAATTATATTCTTCTTATTAAGCGCTAAGGTCTATATTTTCTGTGACACACACAACCATGCTGTGCAAGCTCTGTCACATACACTACCATTAAAACATTTTAAGTTAATAGTTTTAATGTTTTTGCTCACCAAGGCTGCATTTCTTTAAAGAGTAATATAGTGAAATATGAATAAAATTTAAAATAACTGTTTTCTATTTGAATATATTTTAAAATGTCATTTATTCCTGTGATGGCAAAGCTGAATTTTCAGCATCTTTACTCCAGTCTTCAGTGTCACATGATCCTTCAGAAATCATTCTAATATGCTGATTTGCAGCTCAAGAAACATTTATTATTATTAAATATTTGATAAATCTTTAGTAATACATTTTTACTGTCAATTTTGGCTAATTGAATTAATTCTTGTTGACTTAATTTCTTGTTAGAAAAATATTACTGACAGGTTTTTTATTATTGTTGTTTTTTAGGAAATTCCACTCATTTTACACAGGTCCTGTTAATAACAAGACACACCAGAAAAACTAAAGGGCTATTGGATTTAATATGCATTTATGGTGATTTTGTTATTCTGGCTGTTGTGACAAGATGGTGAAAGCCGTTTGAAAGCACCATGTAGTCTCAATTCATTCAGTCATTGTCAATATTTATAATAATTAAATAGTGCTGTCACGTTGTTATATCTGACCCATACTGAGTGACGGGCAAGGAAAAAACATAAAGTAACTCTAGCAGGAGAATCCTGCCAAACATGTTGAATAGATGAATCCAAAACATTTTGCTTGTATTTTCTTCAGTTGATTAATAGCTTGTTTTGTCCCAGTCCTTAAAATCTGTTCTGATGCAGTAGTTCGGTAATGCAAGTCGAGATACATGCTTCATCATACTGACGTAGGAAAATATCCATTACACAACTAGGTGAGTCAAAACTGATATTGGACCTTGCTTGAATGAAAATGCAGCTGCTGCCTGAGACATGATGGACCATGTAGTCCAAACATACACACGAATGCCCATTAACGTCACCTCCCTCAAAACAGTACTGAGGACACAAATCACACATTTATAAAGTTGCTTAATGATCATGTTAACAAATTGGTGCAATACGACAGACTACGCTGATTTTTAGTCAAGCGAGTATTTCAAAATACTTCATGGAAAGACTCTTACCCAGCTTCCCCCGTGACTCTTCGAGCTTCTGAATTTGGTTTTCCAAAAAAATCATTGCAATGGCGAAGGCCAACAGAGCCAGGAGCTGAAACTTCGGCGGCATCTTTAACCTTAAAAGCCCCATCAAAAAATCCAGCACAGGGAGGACATACCGTGACCGAGAACTTTATAACACAGTTCTATGGATGCAACGAGCAGTGCTGTTATTTTATGATCCCCATAATCAGTCCTCGAACATAAACACAGCGAACTACACTGCAATGGACGCTTACTATCCCAACAAAAACGGTTATGCTTATATTGTATACTTTTCTGCATGAATCAGAACAGCTCAGACTCTACCGTACTTGAGTAGCAGCTGTAGTGAACGTTCAGTTGTTGTTAAATCCTGGGAAGTAACGTTAAAGGCACGTTGTGTCAGTGCGCATGCGCAATCATCGGGTGCGTTTGACGTCAGGCGGTCAGCTGTCGCTCTGGAGAATCTCACTTCACTCCTCTACATTCACTGTCTTTACAACAACACGTCATATTTACATATACCTGACCGTGTATACATGCAGATATTTCCAATTAAATATTTTAATATTTATTGCATATAAATAAGCAAAAGCTCACCTATAAAATAAATCCCCATAAAGCTATATTTCATTAATCGTAATGTAAGTGTTATTTCATACACTTAAGTCTTTCGTCTTGTGTGAAGAAACAAAATATGCATATAACACATCTTTCATGCTATAAGGGCTTGTTTAGAAATTACAATATTATGGGCTATAAAAAGAAATTCAGCCAGGTTTGTCCAAACAATTTTTAAGCCATTGTACTTTTAAAGTTCAAAATTCAAATAAAAAGAGGTTCTAATCTCCCTTATTTTTTTGGTCCCAAAGGATTTTCATTCTAGCTAATGTAACTCTTATTATTATTATTAATAAACTGATATTGTTTGGTTATGATAATACTTTTAGCGGATGTGTTGTGTTTAACGCACTTCCTGTTCCTGCTGAACCCAGCGAGAGGAAGAGAAACACTCATGGCGGGGGAAGTGTACCTGTTTTGGTTACTGTCGTTATTACAAACGGTAGGTTAATGAAACACATCATCTGTACACTTTCATTTTTAAAAGTAGATACTCAACAGTGACAAGGAATCCACATGTCTTTGTAAAATATGGGCTAACTTTACTAACGTTAAGTCGATGGTTAGCCGGCTCGCTAATGTTAGCTAATGACGTGGCCCAACTGGCTGATTCTGTAAATAATGTAAGGGAAATCTTCATAATATCGCATATTTAATTTCTACCCGTGACATTGACTAACTTAGCACCTACCGCAAAAAATTGAGACAACGTTTTTTGCATAATCTGTAATGATTCGATTTTAAAGCTGTTAACTAGTTTAACTTAACATTACCTGCAACAAAAAAAAAAAGTTACGTTACATTGCATACAGTAGCATGGTTACTTAGCTTTAAAAAATAACATTACAGTAATGTAAAATATGTATTCCTTTATGTTTACACAATTCTTCCCTCTCTTGGGGATTTCTCGAGATCAGCTGGGCTTGTATTCGTAACTAGGAAGCAAGTTCACCAAGTGCTATTCCACAGATTTGTCCTGTGTGGAGAAAAATGGCTTAAGGGCTTGTTTATTAAGAAAGGACAATATTATGGGGTATAAAAAAATCAATTCAATCACGTTCCAGGTCCAAACTATTCTTAAGCCTTTGCAATTCAAATAAAAGAATGTCAATCCTTGATTGGTTGTGCTTTTTCTTTAATATAAGCTTAAAGACTTTTATTGTTCATAACTAGGAAGCAAGTTCATCAAATGTAGAGGCAAGATGTGTCACTCACCAACTATAAACAGTACACTCTGACTCTTGTTATCATAGCTGTAGCCAAAGGTTGCAAATTCATGCACCTGTCCTTTACCCTCCATTTGCCTCTTTCTTTGAGCTTGCATTTGACGGTCATTAAAATCAAAGTGAACAGCTGAGAATTTCCAACAGATTTAAGATGTTGACATAAAGGTCAACTGCTGTTAGTGCTTAGAGAATTACATCTACTGCTTGTTTTCAGTGTAAAGTGTCTAAATTGTGTTGTCATTCCTCTCGGCTCAGCTGTCGTCTTATGGAGCGGAGCTGTCCTCCGAGGCGTGCAGGGAGTTGGGCTTCTCCAGCAATCTCCTGTGTAGCTCCTGTGACCTCCTGGGTCAGTTCAGCCTGAACCAGTTGGACCTTCCATGCAGCCAGTGCTGCCAAGAGGAGGCTCAGCTGGAGTCAAGGAAGGTGAGTTCTGCTTCTGTGCCAAATGACAAGGTCATTTCCAACAGTGAGCACAGAGTGCTGGAGCTTTAATGAAGCTTTCCTGCTGTTTTACCCCAAACAATGAAAAATGGGTGAAACTTTTTGTCATAGCACAAACATTTAGATGCAACGAGCTAAAGGCCACGATTTTGCTCTCATATCACTTGACTTTATATACCGTATTTTCCGCACTATAAGGCGCACTTAAAAGCCTTTAATTTTCTCAAAAAACGACAGTGCGCCTTATAATGCGGAGCGCCTTATATATGGATGGGGAACACACGTTCACCAAGACGGGGAGACAGCGCCGGGCGACTTACGCCACTATCTGCCAATGAATCGTGGATGCCTGGGCTGATATATCAGTCTCAACTGTGATCCGAGCTTTCACGAAGGCAGGAATAATCTCTTTATTCAGCCGGCTCACATACCTGTATTTACTTCCTGTTTTCGGCCGAAGTCCACAGTAGTCGATTGTCGAGTTGGCGCGCGCGCGATCAAACCTTCTCCGTGTGTTCAACATCTGATTCGGATGAACCAGAGCCGTGGCTCTGGGATGAACTATCCATTTGAGCTGATATTCTCAGAACACCACACAGCACCGTCATCGGCTGACAGCTGACAGTCTGAGTCTCCACTGTTGCTTAGTTACCAATGATCGCGCGCGCGCACTCGACAATCGCCTACTGTGGACTTCGACCGAAAACAGGAAGAAAATACGGGTAACGTTATGTGAGCTGGCTGAATAAACATAATTTTTATTCATATCTTTCACATATACTGGAGTCAGATTCACCGTGTTCACTCACATGGCTGTGCACTTGTAATGACACATTAAGGTTGTTAAGAGGCTAAAAGCAGGTTTAAAACTTTTCCCGTTTAAGTCAACAGGGTGCAAATTTTAAAAAGAGGATAACACGGTGTAGGCAACACCGGTTTTTGTCGAAGTTATCTGTACTGACGGCACTCCAAATTTACAAAAAATGAGCTCAATGTTAAAATTGACCGGATTTTCCTTTAACGTTTGAACAACGTTACCATGGGAGTGAACGGAGTTGTCAGAACGCTTAATAAAGTTTGACTTTATCTGACTTTTTTGTTGACATTTGTTGACATCTAGTGGATGCATAACGCAAACCCAGTCAAACGTTTGACTGCAGTATCTTATGCGCCTTATAATCCGGTGCGCCCTATATATGAAAAATGTTCTAAAATAGGTCATTCATTGAAGGTGCGCCGTATAGTGCGGAAAATACGGTATATATATATTTACCCATATTAATGTGCATTTGTCATTTATTTCTTTGACAGCTCTACCCAGGAGCCATCCTTGAGGTCTGTGGATGAAAATTGGGGAGGTTCCCTCAAGTCCAAGGTAGATTGAGGATTTGGCCTCAAACATGAGTAACTGCTACTTCAAACTTAATATTTCTTGTTGATGATTGTTCAAAAAATGGCACAGCAATATAGAAAAATAAACCATGTTTATTTGGGTGTTTTTTGTAGCATTTCAGCTGTTGTGTAGCACAGACTTGCAGAGTGTTTGCTTGTTACAAAGCAGTAATTTTGTGACCATATTTCCCTTCAGCTTTTGTCAGGAGTGACAAGCCCAAGATGTTCAGGGGTCTTCAAATCAAGGTAATTATTTTTTGCAAAATATTTTAGTTATTAAACATGGCCATGGACATTATATATAAATTGCTGTTCAAAAAGTTTGGGGTCAGTAAGTTTTATGAAAGAAGTGAATGTTTTTTCCCCCAGCAAATATGCATTACATTGATCAAAACTAAACTATAAAAGATTTTTTTTAAATGCTACATTTAAATAAATGCTGTTCTTTTTGGACTCTACTCATAAAAGAATCCTGAAAAAAATGTGTCATGGTTTCCACAAAAATATTAAGCAGCACAACTGTTTTCAACATTTATGATAAATGTTTCTTGAGCATCAAATCAGCATATTAGAACAATTTCTGAAGGATCATGTGATACTGAAAACTGAAGAAAAGATGCTGAAAATTCAGCTTTGCATCACAGGAATAGGACTAAATTACATTTGAACTTTCCCCGCCATTGATGGAAATTTTCGTCATTTGGGAGAAAGGGCACTGTTATATGGTAGGGGGCGCTATGACACATCTTCTGAAAGAGTACTGAATCTCCGGATCAAAACAAGTGTGAAGAAGCAGCAGAAGAAAGCAAGATCATTTGTAATCATATGTAAAATAACACAATCATCAACGTTAAACTGCATCATTAAATCAAAACTGCCTAATGTTACTGAATGAAATGTTGAACCAGGATGAGGTATAGGACTGTGAAAGCTTAGGGGGTGTTTACTGAATCGATCTACTCCATCTATGTTTTGATCATCGTTCTGAATCCAATCTGGATGTAGTCAAATTATTGATTTTCTCAGCTTTTTGCTCAATGTTGCTTTTTTGTTATGAAACTTACCTACATTCAAGTGTTGATAAAAAAAAGAATCCACGAAGGTAGAATAAAACGTTTTTTCTTTTTTTTTTAAGTAGAGGGTTGGTTTTTTCTTTTTATATATTGCATGTTCAGATATTTATACAACAAAATATTCTGAGGGCCATGATATTTTTGTGAAAATGGTAAAAAAAGAAAGAAAAAAAAAAGTGGTGGCTGGCAGGGAAAGAGTTAAAATGTATTTAAAAAGAAAGCAGTTATTTTAATGTGTAATTTTTCACAATATTACTGTTTACTGTATTTTTTTTAACAAGTAAATGCAGCCTTGGTGAACATGAGACTTCTTTCAGAAACATAACATAAAAAATCCCTAAACTTTTGAACAGTTGTGTGTATATTATTTGGTGCAAACATAACAATATTTGTCAGAAAAATAATATTAATATTATACGTGGCTTAAACACTGGTTAATTCTAGATGCCTTTTTTTTGCATTTCTTCCAGTATGTGAGAGGCTCGGACCCTGTTCTAAAGCTGCTGGACGATAACGGGAACATTGCTGATGAGCTCAGCATCCTCAAGTGGAACACAGACAGCGTGGAAGAATTTCTTAGTGAGAAGTTAGATCGAATTTAGAGTCCCCGTTGCATATTTAAAATCAGATGTTCAGAGGTTGGTTT